GCGGTCCATGCCGCCGTCATTCTGCCTCAGTCATTGCCGAGAATTCACGAAGCCTTGGCCGGATTTGTGGATGGAATGGGGTTGGCTCATAGTTGACTTTGGAGCGGACAATCAAATGTTGGGATCCTGCGCCGTGGGTATATAAGGACCCAGATATTCGCCTAGGATGTCTCTTAACTCGCCATCAAGGAAATCCTCCGCAGCAACTCTGAGAAGATGAAGGTGTCGCTCACCCTCTATGCGGCTGCGCTGCAGCTGGCAGATGCCGCTGTAGTCCAGAAGCGAACAGTTGATGTTGCTGAGCTAGAGCACTACTGGTCCTATGGACGCTCAGAACCTGTCTATCCCACCCGTAAGTCATCCTGACCTGCTAGTCATGATCAAATCTAATCCAGCCATTAGCCGAAACCAGTGGATCGGGTGATTGGGAAGAGGCGTTCACTAAAGCCAAGTCTCTCGTGGCCCAGATGACCGACGATGAGAAGAATAACATCACCTATGGTTATACGTCTACGACAAACGGTTGCTCTGGAATGTCTGGTGGTGTCCCCCGACTGGGGTACCCAGGGATGTGTCTTCAAGATGCAGCGAGCGGTGTGCGGGGAACTGACATGGTCAACGCTTACGCCTCGGGTCTCCATATCGGGGCTTCGTGGAACCGTGACCTCGCCTATGAGCACGCACATTATATGGGTGCAGAGTTCAAGCGCAAGGGAGCGAATGTTGCTCTTGGACCCGTCGTAGGCCCGTTGGGCCGCATGGCGCGAGGTGGTCGCAATTGGGAAGGATACAGTAATGACCCCTACCTCTCTGGCTCCCTCGTTCAGAACACCATCCGTGGTCTTCAGGAGTCTGTCATTGCCTGCGTCAAGCATTTCATCGGAAATGAGCAGGAGACGAACCGCAACACGCCCCAACTACTGGAAGACAGCTATAACCAGTCTGTCTCCTCCAATATCGATGACAAAACTATCCACGAGCTTTACTTGTGGCCCTTCCAGGATGCAGTCAAAGCTGGTGCAGGTGCAGTCATGTGCAGCTACAATCGGATCAATAACAGCTATGGATGTCAAAACAGCAAGAACTTGAATGGTCTGCTGAAGGGTGAATTGGGATTCCAAGGGTTTGTCGTCTCTGACTGGAATGCCCAGCAGTCGGGTATTGCCAGTGCAGCGGCAGGTCTCGATATGGTCATGCCTGACTCCGTCTATTGGGAAAATGGTAATCTATCGTTGGCTGTCCGTAATGGATCGCTCTCGTCTACGCGTCTCGATGACATGGCAACCCGCATCGTCGCTTCATGGTACAAGTATGCAGAGCTAGAGGACCCCGGCTTTGGTATGCCCATAAGCCTCCTGGAACCCCATGTGCCAGTTGATGCTCGCGACCCTGCCTCCAAGGCCACCATTCTCCAGGAGGCTATCGAAGGTCACGTCCTTGTCAAAAATACTGACAACGCCTTGCCTCTGAAGGAACCGAAGTTCCTCTCGCTTTTCGGATATGATGCCATCGCCGCGCAACGCAATACCATGGATGACCTTTCCTGGAGTTTCTGGACCATGGGCCTCGACAACACTCTAAGTTATCCTAACGGCACCGCCGTGGACCCCTCTCACCTTAAATACATGTTCCTTTCTAGCACCAATCCCTCTGAGAATGGCCCTGGTGTGTCCTTGAATGGTACCATGATCTCCGGGGGCGGCTCCGGCTCCAGCACTCCATCCTACATCGACGCTCCCTTCGATGCCTTCCAACGTCAAGCTTATGAAGACAACACTTTCCTCGCCTGGGATTTTGCCTCCCAGTCTCCAATTGTAAACCCGGCTAGTGAAGCGTGTCTTGTCTTCATTAACGAAGCCGCAGCTGAAGGTTGGGACCGTCCGTACGTGGCCGACCCCTACTCCGACACTCTGGTCGAGAACGTCGCCTCCCAATGCAACAACACGATGGTGATCATCCACAACGCCGGTATCCGTCTCGTCGACCGTTGGATCGACAACCCTAACATCACTGCCGTCATCTACGGCCATCTCCCCGGTCAAGACAGCGGTCGCGCCCTCGTCGAGATCATGTACGGCAAACAATCCCCTTCTGGCCGTCTACCCTACACCGTCGCCAAGAACGCCTCTGAATACGGTGCTCTCCTGAGCCCTGTCGTTCCTTCCGGAACTAAGGACTTGTACTACCCGCAGGACAACTTCACCGAGGGTGTCTATATCGACTACAAGGCCTTCGAGCAGAAGAACATCACCCCTCGCTATGAATTCGGCTACGGTCTCACCTACTCCACCTTCGATTACTCGGGTCTCAAGATCTCCATTCACACCGGTGTGAACACTGACTACCTACCCCCCAACTCTACCATCGAGGAAGGCGGTGTTCCCGCCCTCTGGGATGTTGTGGCTACGATTACCTGCTCAGTCACCAACACTGGATCTGTTGCTGCGGCTGAAGTCGCTCAGCTCTATCTGGGTATCCCCGGTGGCCCAGCGAAGGTCCTCCGTGGTTTCGAGAAGAAGCTTATCCAGCCGGGCCATCACACGAAGGTCCAATTTGATCTGACGAGACGTGATCTCAGTTCATGGGATGTAGTGAACCAAGCTTGGGGTTTGCAGAAGGGTGATTATTCGGTTTATGTGGGGAAGAGTGTGCTTGATACCCAGTTGACGGGGACGTTGACTATTTAATGAGCTCACGAGCTTTGACTGTTACGATTAGATGTATAGAAATTCACTTTGAATGATTTGTTAAACTTTTGGTCTAGTCTATATGGGGTATCTTTCGTCATGATTCTAGTTCTAAGGGTATGCTTGGGGGGATATGTTCATATCAAGACATAAATATCTGAGCACTTATGATACTCCTGACTCACACAAATCCCACAAGTACGTACCTGGGGTCATGCACCTTCGATACGATTGCGGTTGGCACAACTCCCTCAGTGCCGCATTACTGGGCAGTTCAGTGTTTTGTCCCTCGCGTACGGCACTTCTTGTCATGATTGATCAGAGAGTGACGAGGTGTTCACAGGGTGTACTGATAATGCCTATTCCCGATAGTGATGTCGACAACACTGAACTCTGCGGCAGAGTAGAGATAGACCTGATCCCGATGCCCATATTACTGGCAATCAAAGAGCCTTGGCAGATGGACGAGTTGGTAGAGCCTCTGCACCACTCGCCATGTTACCTGCGAGGGCAGCAAGCAAGTTGAAACGCTCTTCAATATGGAGCTACCACTCAACGAGCGATCAAGCAGGCTGAACTCCCTCGTACCCCGAGAGATTCTCATAGTACCTCTTATCCAGACCAGCCTGTAACCTGGCCTCTGTATTGAACGGTTCTCTCAACGGCCCGCGGAAGTATTTTTGTACATTTCCCCGGAATACCTTCACGGGATCCGTTTCCTCCTGGGCACAGATCCAGGTCAACCAGCGATGGCCCGTCGTGACATGGGTGATCTCATCATTGTGGATAATCTTCAACGTGTCAACGCTATCTCCATCTCCGGCCTTGCGAAACTTGTCAATCGTCACTGGATTCACATCCAATCCGCGCGCCTCATGCACCAACGCAATGATGCTGATCCGGGCGCGCAGATCATGGGCAGTCACGGTCGCAGAGTCCCATAGTCCATGGTGGACCGGAAGGGCACCGAAATACGAGCCAAGTTCCTCGAGTCTTGTCCGGAGGAGAGAGAAATGCTTCGCCTCATCATTAGCGACCTTTAACCAGTCGTGGAAGAACGCCCGAGGAAGACCCAGCGCATCCGGCGAGTCTGTTTGGAACTTCGCGAACCGCACACAGATATCGACCGCAAGATCGATCGCCCATTGTTCGATGTTCGCCAGCGCATGCAGCATGTTGATCCTGCTCTTCTGCGTACCACCTCTACCCGGCTTCGGAACTGCCTGCCGATTCACATCCTTGACGCCATCCCTAGGCGGTAAATCAGGAAGGTCAACACCGTCCCTAGTCCCGATAACCATAGGCTTATCCGTTCCCTCCCGTTCCGTAAACAACTTGAACAAATGCGCCGTCAACTCGATCTTATGTTCCGGGTTCGAAGTGTTCAAGATATGCGCACACCATTCACACACCGTCGCATTATCATCCAGATACCGGATCGGCGCAGCTTCAGTCTCATCCTCACCACCAGCTCCATTCGTCGCCGTCGCACCATTCACACCCTTGACACTCTTCTTCAACTTCATCTGCTCACTCACAGCCTCCAGCTTCGCCAACTCCACTCCCTCCCCCAGTTTCTCAGACGTATATTCAACAACCACCATATCCTCATCGCTCACATCAACAGGGAACGTGCACGCCTTGATCCCCACACTCGACTCTCCCGTCTCAACATTGAAATCATACGCATGCCACGGACAAGACACGATATACGCCGAATCTTCAATGTCGATGGAGGAATCTTTCATCGGGCCGCCGGCATGCGGACACTCCGCTTCCATGGCGTAGTAGGACCAGCCGTTGGCGTCATTGCGCGCTCGAGGTTTGTCTTTGGTTTTCGGGGTCTCGATCGTGGGGAGGCGGAAGAGGACGAGGCGTTTGCCGTCGGAGAGGTGTAGGACGTAGCGGGTTTGAGTTAGGGAGGAGAGCGGGGCAAGGCGGACACGCGCCATGGTGGGATATGCCGGTCTGTACAAACAATGAAAGAAATTCGTTATCGTCAGGGGTGTTGGTCGAGTGCAATAATTATTTCTTGGGGTTGGAGGAGCGGCCATTTTTTGAGGTCACGTGTGGGTTCTGGATAAGGGTGGGGCACTACCCGTAATGTGGGAGGCGATCGGTCGGTCGGACATGTGCCTGAATGAGAGAGCGCGTTACTCCGACTTCATTCAGAGGGCCAAAATTCAGTTTGGTATGAAGGTTGCGAATACTATCCTCTCATCATTAGATGCCTGTTGAGGTGTAACCTATGTATGATCGATTGGTTAAAATCAGATACGTATGTGGAGTAGAGAAAAAAAGAAATCATGTTTGTGCGTTAACTGGGAGTCGAACCCAGAGCTCAACCTCACAAGAGGAGTGGAAGGGTTGAATGTTACCGCTACACCATTAACGCTTGTTGTTGAAGGTTTGGGTAGTATCATTCAATATATTGAGCATAAGTAATTTCAGCTTGATTCTATTGCAAGAATCAGTAGTCAGCTCTTTGCTATATTTCCTGTAAACAAATGCGGAATTTGATTCATCTTGCAATTATCATGGTCAGGTATATTATCTCTTTCTTTCAAGTAGTCGGAGTTCTAGTCCCGCTTGTTCCTGCTGTTGTTTGACGCCTTCAAGATCGACCTTCGACTGGAATATTTTTTATATAGTACCTGACTATCTCATCCAGCGGTATCCCATCAGCTCATTGAAATAGTATCCTAATCCGTCCGAGTGCTATGTATCGGGTAGTAATCTCATCTCAAACTGTCCAGCAACTGCTTAACATGTGACAAGTTGGCGCCGGACTCTGTCCTACGATGCTTGTCCTGTCTACATCAACTCCAGTTACGGGATAATCCGGTTGGAAATGCTCTACGTTATTCGGTCTGTGTTCTCCTCTTGCCCGACTTGCGGGTCTATGGCCCACCCGAACGAGACCACATCTGGTCTAATAGCCAACGAGTGGCTACGCATCATTCTTCCATCGTATCAGTTTGGCGCGCTGCTGAGACCAATGTTCGCGCATGGATACCACACCCCGCAGGGCAGTGCTAGACCCAACAACAACTAGCAGGGATCAGAGATAGCCCACTGCGAGGCTCGCTCGGCAGGTGCCTACAGCCTTGCATATCCTTGCAGTGAATGGCCTGGCAGTGAATACTATATATTGGTTGCCATCCTGTACCCCGCCATCACTGATACGCGCCTATCTGCCCTTTCAACTTCTTCCTCCCTCTTCCTCCCAGCTCTTCTGATCACTCTCCCACATACGTCCTGGTTACACCATCACGATGGCAGTTCCACAGAAACTCCTGTCTTGGTAAGTGGCTAATCCCGATATTCCTGACCAGGTTTGGTTGCACCCTGTCAAGGACACGTCTAATAACGTTATCTCCTCAGGTACACTGGCCTGTACTCCCGTACCGTCGACCTCGTTGGCGACTATGCAGGCAGTGAGCTCTTCATCATCGAAGGAGACTCACTTCTCTTGCACTGCTTCGCCGACGACCAGCTTGATTTTTCCAATGGCTTTCAGCTGCTTCATGCCACTTACATCGTGGAGCGGCTGCTAGCACAGCTTCGACAACGAAACTGCAATTTTCACGTTGTCTTCTTCGCGGAAAACTCGATGGCATCTATTCCACCACATGCCGATGAGTCGTCGTTGCCGAAGTACCGTCTAGCTCGTGAAGCCATTTTACAGCATCTTCAACAGAATGCCCCTAAGGCTTTCCCGTCCATGCAAGTGAGATGCTTTGATACATACAACTGCTCTGGTTTTGAGGAATATCTTACTTCGGAGGGGGTCTATTTTATCATGTGTCATGATGGTGCCTTTTCAAGTCCTAGCGGGCATGACGGAGCATTTGGTGGAGCTCTAGAAGACCCTGAGAAAGTGCTGTCAGAAGATAGCTCAGACAGTGGCTGTGATGAAACTTTTGATAGCGCTCTTCCCTCGTTTTGGACGAACAGACTTACGCTCAGGTCGATGATACACTGGTTTGTCGCACATGGCTTCAATATCTCATTGTTGAACAGCTTGGAGTGTCGTGATACCAAGGTGAGCTCAGCGACTTTATCTGAATTAGACCACACCTAACCCTGAATAGGTGTTTACTATGGTTCTAGAGGGCTCTGCAGAACGGGCACGGAATCTTTTCTGCGTAGATTCTGTCAGCCTGAACATTGCGGAGGATACGGAATCATCTGGCTCTGACACAGAAGAGGTGGAATCTGAAACCAATCTAGTGCATTACCACGTCGAAGCTAGCCCCAGTGCCCAAAAGCCTTCTCCCACTAGCTCTTTCTCAGTGGAGCCTACGCTACGCAATTTCCCGCGTATCTTGGACGCCACTGATCACACTCTCACTCAGCGAGAGTGGGCCACAGTTCTAACAGCAAGTGTCCTGCTAACTTCTGACTGCCGCGAAGAGAATGAGATGTTGGGGCTACGTGCTCTGTTACTGCACACCATCATTCTGAGTGAGTGCAAACTTGAAAACCGCGTGTATGATCCCAAGTACTGTCTCCCCGGTGAGTTGTTGCTAGTAAGATATGTTGAAGTATCTCGAAGTGTCATCACATCACAGTTGTGGCATGATGCTATGAGGCTTAAACCTATAAGCTGTGATGTGGCGGACCTGATTGATGGGCGGTTGTTCCTTGAGCTGATGCAATTGCAAATAATCTGTCTGTCTGATCTTGAATGCCCCTTCAGCCAATTGATCGTGGATAGGTTTTCGGTGCTTGCTTCACTAGTGAAAGGCCTATGTGGTGTCGATATTGCTAGCTTCCAAGTGAGCGACAAGACTAGCGGTAGGAAAGCAAGCAGCAAGAAGAAAACTAGGAATTCAGGCAGTGGCCAAGTTAATAGCCGGACAAAGGCAACTGCCGTGCTCCCTTTCAACAACCCCGACTTTGACCGCCATCTCAAGCCGATATCACTTGCCATTGACAAATCTGCTGCTGGGAAGGAGCTTGCAGTGTCGCGAATTTTTGAGGAAATCAGCCACTGGCATAATCATCGCAGACCGCTAGATCAGCGGAATGCAATTCCTCTTACGAAGTGGCTTCTTCGCCGTAATCAGAAGTTCATGGCTGAAACTGAGAAATATGCTGCCAGTCTCACAGATGCGGAACCAGAGTCCATTTTTGTAAAGGCTAAGGCAGACCTCAAGGTCTTGCCAAAGAAAAATCCGGCTTCTGAAGCTATGGAGAGAGACAGGACCTCTCGATCCACGAAGAATGGCCCAAAACAGACTAGACAACCAAAGACCAGCGCGTCTGCGTCGGTTAAAGCAGAGGCAGAACTTCATTTCCAGGAACAGCGGGACAAAAACCTTGAAAGACAATTAGAAGCATGGAAACATAAACGCCATGGTATCGAACATGCCGACAATCTGGTCCAGAGATATCAAGATGCTTCCGAGTATCTCCACAGCTTAAAGAAAAAGGGAGACTGTCTGATAGAGCTAGAAATACTCGCTTATCTCATAATGACCCTAGTGCAGCTGTGGAAAACCAAGTGCGAAACAGAGAAGAACAAGCCTATGGGGATAGTGGCACTCATATGGTTCCTAATTCTCAAGATCTCAAAGGCGAAGCAAGGCATTACGGTTGGCATTCGTTGTTTTGTTGAAGAAACTATCAAAGCGCTCAATCTTCCACGTATTGACATCCCCTGTCACAGTTCAGGAAAAGCTACATCCTCATTCACACCAACATTTTCACAGCACGCCAATTTGCAAACGGGCTTGACACCAGTTGAGTTTCAGCTTGTTCATGCGGGTCCATACTTCGATCGAAATATGGAATCGGCACCAGACCCCCGTGTTCATGATTTTGAGCCTGATCGGTGGCAGAGAGAGATCTTGGACCAAATCGACGCTAAAGCGAGTCTTTTTGTTGTCGCTCCAACAAGTGCAGGGAAGACTTTCATATCGTAAGTGTCATATGGCAGCCTATAACAAAGTGTGCTTCAAATTTCTGACTGTAGAATAGATTCTATGCTATGAAACAGGTCCTCGAGAGCAGTGACGATGGGGTCTTGGTGTACGTTGCCCCGACTAAAGCACTTGTCAATCAGATCGCCGCCGAGGTCCAAGCAAAATTCAGTAAGAGCTACAAATACGCTGGAAAGTCTGTCTGGGCTATTCATACACGTGATTACCGCATCAACAACCCAACTAGCTGTCAGATCTTAATCACAGTACCACACATCCTTCAGATTATGCTTCTTGCTCCGTCAAACGCGAGATCGTGGGCGTCTCGCATTCAGCGTATCATTTTCGATGAAATTCACTGCATTGGTCAATCAGATGATGGAGTGGTATGGGAGCAATTGCTTCTCCTTGCACCTTGCCCTATCATTGCACTTTCCGCGACGGTCGGTAATCCCGAAGAATTCAGCAACTGGCTGAGGTTGACTCAGAATGCAAATGGCCATGAACTGAAAATGATTGAGCACAAAACGAGATGGTCGGACCTAAGAAAGTTTGAATACAGACCTCCATCTACTTTCGTCTTTAACGGGCTATCAAATGTCACTCATATAGCTGCACTCGGCCTCGATGCTTGTCCAAACATGTCCTTTATACATCCTGTGACAAGCCTGACCAACCGATCTCGTGGAATCCCGGACGATCTCACTCTGGAGCCGCGTGATTGTTGGACACTTTGGAAGGCCATGGACAAGTACAAAACAGCAGAATATCCCCTTGATAAAGCGTTGGATCCGTCAAACGCACTGCCAGGTGTCATATCCAAAGCCAACATATTGGAGTGGGAGGCCAAGCTGAAGCTGGTACTGAAACATTGGATGAACATCTCAGACTCTCCATTCGATGATGTCGTGAGGGAACTCTCACGAGGAAGCTATGTAAACACGAACAATAACGTGCAGGTATCGTCTGGCGAACTCGGCCAGTCAGATGAGCCCCGCGCAGTGGATAACAGACTTCTCAGTACAACACTGCCCCTGATCTGTTCTCTCCATAACCAAGACGCCCTACCAGCTATTTTCTTCAACTATGATCGAAGTGAGTGTGAGAGGATGTGTCAGCATATTCTTGATGAACTGGAACAATCCGAGGCCCGGTGGAAGTCTTCAAGTACAAGCTGGGCGAACAAGATTAGTGAGTGGGAAAGGTGGAAGAAGTCGGAAGAAAAGCGCTCCAAACAAAAACAACCTGTCAAAGGGAAAATTCGATCTGGAGACAGAGATGAAAAAATGTCCAGAGCAGAACAGATGCGTGAGACTGCGTCTGCAGAGTCGAGTTGGCACGCATTATTTGACCCAGAAGAGCCAATATCGAGGTTTTCCCTAGCTGATGAGAAGAAGCTGGCGGGTTCTGAGTTTGAGGAACATGCTCAAGAACTGCGGAAACGGCAGGTCTCTCCTCGGTTGATTGA